TCTTCTTTTTAAAAAAAGGAAAACCAAGGGTTTTCAACGGACCCATATATACTATTATTTTTTTTCCGGTAACAACGGGGAGGGGGGGAAAGGGGTTGGGGTCCCCAGGGTGGGGAAAGGGTTTGTTTTTGGGCTCTTTTAGGGTCCGGAACAAGTTTTATAAAAATTTTTTCCCTTTAATGGAAGGAAAGGGGAAAGGAAAAATAAGGTCCTTTTTTTTTCCCCCCCCCCCCCCCCCTTTTTTTTTATTTTTCTTTAGTTATTTTTAATTTTTTATTTTTTTATTATTTTGACTCCCCCCCTTTCCTCCTTTTAATCCCCCCCCCCCCCTCTCTCTCTCACTGTCTGTCTGCCTTGCCTCGTGCATAAAGGTTATGCAATAGACATAATATTGATGCAGGCTTTTTGATATCTCTTTATTTATTTAAGGCAATAAATAAATAAAAAATAAATAAAAAAATAAAAAACTATAAATACCACCCATCTTTTGTTCACTAATCTTTCCTTCTTCTTTTCACTTTCAAAAATTATGCTCCCTTTCCCCACCATTGTCTGCCCTGCTACATGTGAACTTTGCGGTCATTGGATGCCTCAACACAGTGTAAGCTATGTATATAAATAAAATAAAATAAAATAATTTAATTTAATTTAACATTATTGACATTTACCTACTTCTTTTATTTCTGACAGGACGAGTGCCCTCGTAATGGAGTACACCCTTCTCAGTGGACATTAACTATCAATATTCAAGAGCTCGACAGCGAATCAGACACTGAAGACTAAAGCTGGATATCAACCTTTATCATCTCATATTATATCATATCATATCATCTCATATCATATCATCTCATATCAAATCATATCATTTAGTATCATATTTCCTCTTCTCTTCACCACCAACAGATATGAACATATCTCTTTCTTTTACTTTTATTTATATATATTTTATGTGTATACCTTTTCTTCTTCTTCAACCTTTATCCCTCATTTCAGTGTAAATTCATCAAGTATATAAAGCTTTCTCGGCATATTTCCCACCCTCCTCTTCATTTCACCCTCTTTATATATCTATATTTATATAAAATAAAATAAAATAAAATAAAATGTATTTCAAATTTATTTTTATTTTATTGGTCAATTGTTTATATAAATAAATTAAATAATAATAATAATAATAATAACAATCCAGTGACCCATTCATTTTCTAAACAATTCTCCTCTCATGATCACATCTAGGTCACTCAAGGCAACTCTAGCCTGATAGCGGGTTAACTCATCCGGATCACTCGACTCAGCGTATCTTAGTGTACGGTACGTTCTCCTAAGGTTTTGGGCCGGATATTCATACAACGTCTGGGATTTCATACCTCGAAACAATGAAACTATCAAGACAATGGCAGCTTTCATTTAAAAGCAAAAGCAAAATAAAAACAAATTCATTATTAGCATTAGGATAAACGCCATTGTGTTTGTAATATTTTCTCTCTTTCTTTCTTTCTGCCCTACCTCTTCTGATTTCTGGTGCTTTTTCTATTTCCAGAATATTAAGAACCCAGTCTGTGAGTTCCCACATTTGTCCTGTGAGTGCAACAGGACACGTCTGACAGGCCATACTTAGAATAGACAATGCAGATACCCTCAGGTTGTCATCTACCCCACGCCGAGCCAATACTGTCTCCAGAGGTCGAATAAGCGTCAAGGCTATTAATAATACCATATATACATTTTAAAAAAAAGTATCATTTAATACATTATTGTTTATTCTTTTTTTTCCTGACGCGATTCATATTACCATATTTGCCGAGTGCATCCCCGCAACGTTGCACAGTCTGTAACAGTGCCTCTCCCACTCGTAATCTATTCTCCAATTTCTGACTCTCATCACTGTAGATCTGACCGAGCTTGGCAATAATCTCATTACCATGGACATCGGTCAGGGCAGACAATCCCTTTACAGCATTAAGATAAATAAAACTGCACCATAATTATTAATATTAAAACCAAACAATCCCCAATATATATATATATATAACAAAATTAGCATTAATATTAGCAGCAATAGCAATAGCAACATCAGCAGCAACAGCAACATCATTACCACCACTAACACCAGCATTGGCAAGGGGTGGAATGCGAGTCACTGTAACACGCCATTTTTTCTTAAATTTTTTTTTACCTGTCTTCATCTTGGACTAGTCGCACAAAGAGGTCAAGCACGTTGTCCAATCCTGAACCCGAAGCTACCAATGGATCCCTTGAAAGAACCATTTCCTTTAGCATCCCAATCCCATGCGCTCTGACTGGTAAAAGGTCATCTTGCAAGGCCTTCATTGCCTCGCGGTACTTGATCTTTGAATCCTGTCTGTCTTGACTACCACTCTTATTTGGACCCAATAAATGTTGGGCGGACAGATAAGAAGTCACGGCCAATATAACCTCATGCACTGATTCTTGCACATCATCGCCGCCATATTTCTCGAGTATTCGCAATGGTCCAAGACCGGATTCCAAAAGTTGTACGGCTTGTGGACTAAGCTCGTCATTTTCTAAAGATATACAAAGAAAAGGTACCATTAATTTGTTATTTTATTAATTCACAAGACAATCTATTTAATATATTTACCATGAATAACTGCCCTCATAAGATGAATGGCCAACAGAAGAGACTCAAAATCATCTTTGGCTGTGTATGTCTCATCATGCATATCTTCAATCGCTTCTCTATCTTCATGACTCACAATGTTGGAAAAGTCTGGGAAGCCGCTAGACTGTGCTGATTTAGATGAATTCTTTGGTTTGCTTATCCGATCAGCGTGTTCTGTCACTACATTACTCGCAAACGCTACAATCTGCGTAGGATTCTTTAGGATTTCAGGACCCAGAGTATCCAACATCCCCATAATCAAATGGAGTATCATTAAAATTCTATAAACAAGTAAGTATATAGAATGCTTGAAATCCCAAACTTACATCTTTGGATCTGTATCCTGGGAAACAGACTGCATTGCAGAATATTCACTCAACAAGAATACAAAAAAATCTCCACACAAATCTGGACTATCGATCCTTTGAAGAAATTCAACCATTACTTTTGGATCAATTGACAGCTGATTTGAAGACGCTTCTTTAGGGAATCTTTGATGTACAATAAAAATTCTATTAGTTTCTCTCTTTTTTTTTTTATTTTCTTTCCCCCTTTTTTTTTGGGTTTTGGTTTTGTTACCTTCTCAATCGGAGTACCACACCTCCTGTGGGTCCTGGTCCAAAGTAAGCAACACGAGAGTTACTCAAATCTGTCTTGTCTAGCAGGATACGTTTAAAGTCGCCAATGGCCTCTCGCGTAGTAGTGATCCGAAAGTATGTGGTCAGCAAATCCAACACGACTTCTCTCAGGTTGGATTTGGATCTAGTACTGAATTCATAAAGATGATAGAGCATCGGGATCAAACCGTCCAAGAATGATTGGATCACAACAGGCGAAGGTTCGCCTCCCACCATCACACAATGCAGAGTATACAGTACCGTCCGTAAATCGTCTTCTGTCATGACCACCTGTGCATCGACCCCATTTTCCAAAACGTCTGGCTTGCCGTATTCTGTCTGGTTCCAGTAGGTCAGCAGAGACCCCACAGTTTTGTCGACAATGTACTTTTTGGCCAGATCGGTGTGTTTTATAATCATTCTTCCGATCACAAACGTAATAGCCTGAGCTCTAGGGGATTTTTGTTGAGAGTGACGAACGGTTCCTTCTAGTAGCACAAGCAGTTGTGGAGCAATCACGGCGTAATAACTCTGCCAACCAAAACCCAAAAATAATATCGATAATAATACAAGGGGGGGGGGGGGGGTATAGGTCAAAAGAGAGAGAAGAAGAGGTTACAGAAACAGATACAGACAACTGTTAATAATCACCACTCATACTTGACAGCCTCAAAAGAAAAAAGAAAAATACCTCTACAGATGGCATCTGTTGAGGTACAGATAAAATAAGCTTGGAGATCTTTTCCAGTTGAGCAAATTGGACTATCGATCATCCCCCCAAATAGTAATAAAATAAAACAAACAAAAAAAATACATAAGTTTTATTTATTTATTTAAGACTATATAAATACCTTGGTCGACATCGCCCACTGTAAAATCCAATACAATAGAAACACCATTCGGTCTCAATATGATTCTCGAAAGGAACCGACCGCATATTCCCCTCAACCATGCTGGTACGGGATGAAGGGGAGATGTGCCTAACAAAAGCATCAAAGACTCCATTGCACGATAAGCATCCGATCTATATATATATACAGAGAGAGAATCATAAATTATCATTTTGTTTTTTGTTTTCGATTTAGATTTAGATTTATATTATGAGTTTACCTTTCGAATAGCCACATAAACACACGGGCACTCTTGTCTTTTTCCTGGCGCGAAATTCCAGGGGTTGTTTTACTGGATGCAACAGCAGCAACAGCAGGACTCACGTTGGCGGGGTTGGCAGGAACTTTAGTGTGGGGAATTGTTTGGTCTAGTGTCTTTGGGGGAGCATAGGCAGATAAGGGAGCATATGCTAACTGTAATAGTGCAGCATAAATGTCTGGCAAATGACGGCTTGTTATAATAGAGGCCGCAGTTGTATAGCCTTTACTGGCCGGAACCTCCTCGGACTTTATGATCAGATTGGCCAATTTCATGGATATGTCCATTAAGCGATGTGTACTTTCAAGAGGTGGAAGGGATGCCTTTTCGTCAGAACTGGTGTTCTGGCCAAGTAGTTCTATTTAAGCTAGTTAAGCCTTTGAATGAATGGTATGACATGGGATGGGATGAATCAGGGATTGAGGGGAGAAGAAGAAGGATAGTGATGATGATGAGGCTATTCTTTCTTTTTGGGGTTCCTATACAATTCAACTAACCATGGTTTGTGTAGCCTGATTTGACACGACGAGAAAGAGGTACTCCTACGCCGGGAGAAAAGCAAGGATATATTCCCCACGACACAATTACTTGGAGGAGTGTGTGCAAGAGGCGTAAATCACGCACACCCAAGAGGTCCCGGTCTGTGGACACTTGTCCCTCTACACACACATGCACATACACAAGCAAACAAGCAAACAAGCAAACAAGCAAACACACATGCCCACACGCACACATGCACACATGCACAGATTTTAAATAAATAATATGAAAAATGATACAAGAATAATAATAATAATAATAATAGGATTTACATTGTGTAAATGCTATAAAATGTATTATCCCTTACACACACCCTCACACAACAGTCCACTCATATTCAACTATATAGTGGTCGATTCGATACAGTCCAAATCCAATCTAATACAATTTCTATATTCCCTCACCTCCTTCGACTATCACAGACAGCATGGTCATTTGGATTTCTGTCAATAACCGCAAACACTCGCTTACAAATCCATATTGTGGATCGTTTTCTTCTTCTTTTTGTTTTTCTTCTTCTTGACCATCATTTGTTTTCAGCTGCTTCAGGCGAGCACTCAGCTGTTGTTCCAAACTAATGTCTGTCAAGATACCTGTAAGTTTCTTTCGGTTTGGTTTGATTCCAATTTTATTTCATTTGAATTTTTATTATGCATTTTCAAAAAAAAAAAAAAAAGACAAAAGATATCTGTCTATCTACGGATATCTTGACCGTTTGTTGATTTCATTCTTAGAGGTTGGAATTTACAGATAATCTCAAGGTGTAAAAGAGAAAGAAGAAGAAGAAAAGAAAAAAGAAATAACAACCTTGAGATTCTGGTGGAGGATTTCCAACCAGCATCGATGCTTGAAATAGTAATTTTGAAAGACGATCCTTCTCTACATCATACTTTGAAACCAAAGCCATGTTAGATTCTAGTGAAGATTCGGCCATGATAAAGTAATGCAAGTAGTTTTATATAAAATGCAATCAATCCTGTTTTTTTTTTCTTTTTCTTTTCCCTTTGAGATAATGCTGCCTGTAGAACTCGCGTCACTAAGAACGGTGGCTTGCTCTTTTACTTACTTGGGGGAAAAAATTAGAAAAATAACCTTTTTCTACTTTTCCTTTCTTCTTTCTTTTTTTCCTTATTATTCTCATTTCACATATGGAATCTGCATTAAAAAGAACTTTATTTCAGTATAGAGAACAGAAAACAAAAGAAAGAATGAATGACAAAACGAGCCAAAAGATATATATGTATATATATATATTATTATTATTATTATTATTATTATTATTATTTGGCTGTAAACTGTCAAAGGCTCTACACAAAGACTCTGTTTGTTTGTTTGTTTGTTTGTTTGTTTGTTTTTGCTTTATAAAGATAGACATGTTAAGTGAAGAAAGCCATCGAATACATTTCTCAATCGACGTTTAGATGAATCATCAATTATTGAGAAATAATTTGACAACTGTACTAAACTATAGGTCTACGATGTCAAAAAAAAACAAACAAAATGGCGAAGAAAGAGAACTGAAATTACCAACAACAACAACAACAACAACAAAACTTCCCCTTGACCTTTTTTTTGAATGATGAAGTATAATCGATTTTGCGGATTATGAACATCACCAAAAGATATTAGACTTTTTTTTTATGCTAATTTCCTGAGAAAAGAATGAATCTTCATTACAGTCAAAGCTCGATATAGCTATGAAAGTTAAAGCATCTCTAGCAGTTTCTACACACGAATTATACACAACCAAATTAGGAAGTAAATGTATAAGGCGTTCACAAAGTTGCGGTCGGCCGGTCTTTCTCGGCGGTCTGAGACGGTTGGCGTGGTGGTCGGTGGCCGCCACACTGCGGAGAAAGTGAGAAGTGGCAAGAGGAGACTGAAGTGGGTGTAGGACCCACTTTACTTGTCCGGGAGTATATCGGCACCTTCTGCGGTTCATGAAGAGGGGGTTGACCAGCAACGAGGACCTCGGGTATCTGAGCTACATCGTCGACCGGCTCCACTGTGGCTGTGCTTGTCGCCTGTTCTTGCTTCTGCTCCACCGTTCCTGTTTGCCTCGCCTGTACCGATAAGGTGGGTTCCTTGGCCTTCTCCGTGTCAATGCGCGTCTCCGACTCTTGTCGTCGCACCTTCTTCTTCCACGAATTTCTTCTCAAGTGTTTTGGTGGCTCCGTAGATACAACATCAGCAACAAGTCATATGAGTTACGGGAATACTTATACTACTAATGTTATACTTGCTAGCAACCACGCTTGGATCAGCATGAGAAAACTGCGTGTTTCTCTGAGTGTTGCTGCCAGTCAAAACTTTTCTACGTCTGAAGGCCGTAGATTCGCCAAAGCTGCGATTACTAGCATGTTGAGTCAGTACGATGCTGAAGCTTTGTTTGGCCAGGCAAAAAGTTTTCCTGGTAATGAGGCATTCGTTGACCTTTCGGTAGTAGATTGGCCGAGCCAGAGCACTGGTCTTCTGCAAGTACTCGATTTTGAACAAGCTGAATCGAGAACTGGTCCAAGCAACGCAGCCGAGGGTTCGACTGCTCCTGGTCCTGGTAAGAGTAACCAAGTAATCGCCACGTCCGGTCACTACAAGAAAGATGATGCGAATCATAACTTTTAACAGACCCTACGGATCTGTAATCAACGGTTAGGTACCGGTGACGGTTGTTACACCCAGGCTTCCTTCGAGACTGCTTATAATTTGAACTGAACTGTTGCTGCCGGAGGTGGTGCTAATTAGGTGTTTTCGGTGTGTGTTTAATTTGTTCCTGTCTTTGTCGTTGTAGGTGATATGTTGGTGTTCGATAGTTCAAATCAATCAAATGGTACAAAATCAAATATTTTATATGTTTTAACAAGGTGTGAGTTGTACTGTTCAAGAGAAAATATGTTTTCAGTATATTGAAAAGAAAATTAATGCAAAATACAAAAACAAAAGAAAAATCTAATGCAATAACAATAATAATAATAATAATATATCGTATAGACACAAAAAACATATAGTAATCATTAGAATAGAATAGCAGCATTGTTGTGTGAACATCAAATTATTGTACCTCCGATAGGATGTACTGCAAGTAGGTACATGCGATTGCATAATATTCTTCTCTATTATCTTCTGTCTGTATCTCTGCCCGTCTTCTACTCATATAAACACCCATCACTTCTTCTCAATAAAAGATTATCTTTCTTAAGCTCAAACTTCTGTCTCATCGTCTAGTTGCCTAAACTGGCCTTCAATTCAAACCCATTTACCCATAGTCATTACAGCATACCTAGTAGGAAGTAGTTAGACGAACGATGAAGGACTAGTATGCGAGGGGCAGGAGTGGCCCAGAGTGAAGAGGTTGCGGAGAATTTATGTGGATCGTCGGACTGCTTGATGCACAGTTAGGCGGGATGAAGCATGAATTCGGAGCACGTCAAAGGAGGGTGAAGATATAAAAGAGGGCAACAGATTGAAGAGTACATTGATGCGCTACTATTCAACCTGAAGTACTCTCTTGCGCATGTCCATTCGGTGAAACCCCCCCCCCCCCCCCCCCAACACTTCAACGCAGACAACATTTACTATGATTTCGATATTCTGAGAAGGACGAGCCGCCTTCTCCAACACACTTACTTTGAGCAAAATCAACAGTTACATCAACTCCAGCACTCGCGACAACAAAAACAACAAACGCAGCGACAAAATGGAATTAGCCCAAACAAAGACACAACAATCGTCAGCACCGAGATGGAGTTATAAATGTATCAACAGATCAACCGTTACCTGTCTCGCAGGGAGTATCCAGAGGACTGCCCAGCGCCAAATAAGAAGAAACTGCGTAACCGTAGTCGTAAGTATGTGGCAGTAGAAGACCGCCTGCACATTAAGAGGTCGACGGGGGAGCCAGGTCCCGAGGTATTACATGCCCAGAACATGCTCAGAGTGGTGACCGAGGTCCACGAGGAGGGACACTGGGGTACCAACTCTTCGACCAAGTCAAGGAAGTAGTAAAGGCCTGTGAGGCATGTCAATTGAGAGCAAAGAGAGCCCGTATCAAGCAGGAAGAAGCCCATCCCATTCCGCCGCCCACCCGTCCGTTCTATATGGTAGGGTGTGATTCCATTGGCCCCATGATTCAGTTCAATAAGGGAAATCGGTACATTCTAGTGGCGGTTGACTACCTGACTCGTTGGCCGGTGATGGCTGCTGTACCTGACATCAATGAAGAGACGGCCGCCGACTTCCTGTTCCGATGCTTAGTCAAGGATTTTGGCGTGCCTGAGTACTTGTTGACCGATCGAAGGTCCAATTTTCTGTCCGCGCACGTAGCCCGTTTTCTGCAACTTATAGGGTGCCGGCATTTAACAACAACAGTGTATCGTCCACAGGTAAATGGATTGTGTGAGCGAATGAACCAAACCGTAGTACAGACCTTGTCAAAACTGGTTCGAGACCGTGGTCCACAAGACGACTGGGACCGACACTTGGACGCCACCGCATTAGCGATCCGGACTATCCCCATTGAAGCGACCCGTTACAGTCCGTCAATGCTCTTGTATGGTTACGAGATGAGGACGCCGCGATCGTGGCCAGCCCCCGTCCGGAAATTCCAGAAAGTCTATTTGCAGAGAGTTCTGGAAAGCCGAGTCCGCGTCATCCACGGACTGATGGAGGAGTACCGCCTTCTGGCACAAGAGAGAATCGCGGTACAGCAGAAGAAACGGAAGAAGCGATACGACAAGTCGGTCATAACCGTCAAGTCCGAGGTTGGCGATCAAGTCTTGATGCGGGAAATGACGAAGGCGACGAAATTCGACGATGCCTGGTTGGGTCCGTTCGTGGTCACGCAAGTAAACCGGTACGGTACGTATTGGTTGGACGGCGAAGGGGGTAAACGATTGAACGGTGCAGGGAGCGTGGATATGCTCAAGCGTTGGGTGGCCCCCACGAGTGCCAAGGAGCCGTCCCGGAAGGCGAAGAAGAAATTCGTGGAAGAAGGTGCGACGACAAGAGTCGGAGACGCGCATTGACACGGAGAAGGCCAAGGAACCCACCTTATCGGTACAGGCGAGGGAAACAGGAACGGTGGAGCAGAAGCAAGAACAGGCGACAAGCGCAGCCACAGTGGAGCCGGTCGACGATGTAGCTCAGATACCCGAGGTCCTCGTTGCTGGTCAACCCCCTCTTCATGAACCGCAGAAGGTGCCGATATACCCCCGGACAAGTAAAGTGGGTCATATACCATTCAAGGCCTAAACACCTCCTTGGATTCCCCCGCAGAGAGTGGCGACCAGCCAAGTTGGGGAGGATGAAATGGTGGGCGTGGTGGTTGGTGGCCGCCACACTGCGGAGAAAGTGAGAAGTGACGAGAGGAGACTAAAGTGGGTGTAGAGTAGGAAGAACGAAATTGGCATAGGAGGCGGCTATCAGAGGAAGTTTAGTGAAGACTAACAAAGTAACCTTTTTACCTCGTTAAAAAGTCTTTCCCATTTTATCTCATTTTGACAACTGATTCCATCCCCATACGCCTAGTCATAAATATTATTTGACGCCCCTAATTAAATACTGAGTGCAGATATATTGTCTTGAGAAAAAATTATCTTAAGAGTAGTTTATTGACCCTCGTTACCACGCCTCCAATTGGGAATATAACCCTTACTAGCTAGTAGCCCGGCCATAAACGCTGTTCAACTAGAGCGTCCTTCCTCATAGTAGACTCGTAACTAGTGACACGTAGGGTACTTGAGGGGAGAAAATGTAACTAGTTACAAGTCTACTATGAGGAAGGACGCTCTAGTGA